AGGAGATCTCAAAGACAAGTCTCTCCATCAGAGTGCAGGTAGATAGATTTCAAAAGCAGAATAGGTTGTGTAGTGTGCTTCAGACACACAGACATCATCCGCAGGGTGGTGATGAAAAAAAAGTAGCCCTTGGGTGTAAGGGAGGAAAAGGTCAATTCATTAAGGTTGCCTTAATCTTTGCCAGTCACAGTTATAAAGAGACAGACACTTTCCACACTGATGCCAAGTTCCAGGTCTCAGCTTTCTATTCCTCCTTCCTGAAGATTAGCTCCAAACAGAAAACCATTACAAAATAATCTATGCTCATATTATCCAATGTAAATGCACAAATACTCCTGTGTTAATATACTAGCAAGGTGGCATGAAAAGCTATTCTAAATATGCATGTCTAATATGTGGAAAAAACACAGCTGTTGTTAACTGTTTACATAAAACTGAGTCAAATGCCATGCCTCTGACCTGGGCTTTCTTGTAGAAGGGATGCTGAAAGCTTGCTCTGCAGGCTAAAAATTCCATTCAGATGAAGAACTACATCTCTTCGGAGATGCACAATTCCAGGAGGACTCTTGCATACTAAGGGAGCAAAGGATACTCTGAGATCTCTCCCTAGACAAACCAGGGAAAAAAGTCTATCAAATAAGTGCAAGGCACACAGGGCTTTTCTGCATTACAACAGGTAACTCCAGAAGGTTAGGTCAATAAACCCGAAGCACGTCAATAAGCCACTTTACATTTTAACAGCCCTAACCAAACAAGACAATTTCATTTGGATAGTTTGCTATCAGACAGCCAATAGTTTAATTACATCACTTAAACAGCAACCCAATTAAAGTTACTTCAGCAGTGCACAGATACTGTTTAAATAACTCTCCCAGCAACATAAATGGTCTTAAAACAACACCCTTTATAATCTCAGAAGAGATCTTTGGGTGACCACCAGAAAGATGAAAGGTGAAAGACACAGCCTTTTACCCACAAAGTCTCCTCCCTTGCCCTTCAAAATGCAATTGTATTACTTTTAATGCTTTGGCATGTTCTCAGGGCTTGTTCTCCCGGCTCTGCAGTGAGATCAGGCTACAGGAAGAAAAGCACTATGTTAACACCACAGTGTTTTAAGGACTATTTTTGTTGTTCCTGATTTATTTCTGACCTCACAATTTTTTTTCTGCTTGACCTTTTACATGAAGACAAAGAAAACAGTACATTTCATCTGCCAGTTCAGTGCATTTTCTTTTCTTCACTAGCAGAATTATAGGGTTTTAAGTGTACGTCAGCTATTCTGCCCGCAGGCTTTCACTTCACAGAAGTATACCTGGCCTTTTCTTTCCTCACTGGTAATAGCTTTTGTTAAGTAAGGGAATGTTTACCAAGCAAAACTAGCACAGCCTCTCAGAATTGTGCTGATTGACAATGTTTTGGAAGTCAGTTTCCCCTGGGAATCAGAATTGGTGACATGTAGTCAGCTATTTTCTTAGTGCAATTGGCTTGTTTACCAAACCTGCACATTTCCCATCACAGCTCCTTTGAACCATGATAATGAACAGCACACAAGTGCCTTCCTAATCGCGGGTTGTCTCCTGCCCAGAAATTGCTGTTTTCTTTCACCTTCCTTCACCATCAATTCACGCTCATCTCTAACTGTATGGTCCGAAGGTAAATGCAGATACTTGTGTTCTGAACCTACTCATGCACTAAACCAGAGCGAGACAAAAAAAAAATATTAAGGTCTGAGAACCTCATCACTGTATTAGCACCAGGGCTCTGTTAGAAACCTTGCGTTTAGGGAAGCTGAGAACATATCACCCTACCCTCCTTCTCTTTCCTTCCAGTTTCCTAAAATGTCAGCCCTCAACCTGGTCCTGTCCCTGGTTCTTCTGCTTTTTATACTTGCACATAGAGCATACGGAGCAACAAGGGGAAGGGGCAGCAAGGTGTTTATTCAGGTCTCAGGCAAAAGGCATAGGGAGCTCTAGCACCTCAGGAAAACCTCCCTGGCTTCTTTTTCCCTAGCTGATTCATAGCATGGACATAGATATTTAACAACCTGTCTTAGAAACTTGCTGTCTGCAGTTTACCCTTGTCTTGCTGACCAGCCTGGAGGCAGACTCACCCTGACAACAACCGCATGGGTAAGGCCTTATCTGCCACTTCTCTGGTTTACGTCACAGCAGTGGGTCCAAGAAGGTTAGTCTGAGCAGCTGTCCTCTTCACCCTCTACTTGTGCTCAACAAATGACCTGTAGCCCATTAACTATCAGAGAAAGAATAATATCTTACTTCATCCTAGTTATACTCTGATTAAAATGACTCTTCTCTATCTGTGAGCAGCTTCAAGTTTATTCCAGCCTGATGCCTGCAGTGTGCAAACTATTAGGACCTCCTGCCAAAATGATAACATTTCCAGTCAGTCTTCAGAAACAGCAGAATCATTTTCCTATTCACACAACTGTGACAACAGGAAATGGAGACCCAGTTAAACTAACTTAGCCGGTATCTACAGATCATAAAAATTCCCTTATAACAAATGTGAATGTCTCCGGTTTTCCCCACATATTCAAAATGCAAAAAAAGTTTTTCTTTACTCAGAACAAGTTATCGAACGCTCGAAGTGGCAATTCTGCCTAAGAGGTATTCTTTGTCATGTGCACTTTAAACATAAGAGTTTTATTTTGTTATTAAAGATTGTACTTAAAAATATTTCTCACTACATTTCTGCTTTTAGAGTGTAGGAGTAACCGTTGTTTCAGCCCATTGCTCTATTCCCATCCCATGTGCTGCTACTGAAATGCTTCCTTCAGCCTCATCAACAAAGAAAAACTAGATCCTTTTAAGAACAGTTAAATCAATACAAGATAGCTCCTTCTTCTCCATGCATAGATGCAGTAGTACTGGTACAAATGTGCCATTTAACAGCATGATTACAAGCATGAAAATAGCCACAGTGGATCAAAAATTACAATTAACACAATGTTCTGTGCTTGACAGTGACCAGTAATGGATACCAGAGAGGAGTAAAAGAGCATGGAAAGTTCAGACTGACATTCTGCAAGATTTCATACCCAGTTTCCAGGGATTTGCATATGACACCTTGAATCGCAGCAGGTATCTTTATACCTGTTAACTCTCGAGACATTTTGCATTCATGAACCTTCACAGCCTGTGTCTGAAGCTGTGAGAACTTCAGGATCCCACAGCACGCTGTGGCTAAGGATTGCATTGCTTAAACATGCAACAGCCTGTGTAGACGTTATCTCCTGTTTGTTTTGAACCTGCCACTTGATGGCTTCATGGCGCACTTGTCTGCTTTGGTAATGGAAGCCACAGAGAAAAAATTTCATGTTGACTTTTTCTTTCCTACTCTGAGTTCTATTGACATTGATTATAGCCTTCATCGTCCATCTTCTTCCACACTGCAAAATCATACCCTACTGCTTCTGGTAAAGAAGTTGCATAAGGAAGGGAAGAAGCACCTTTCTATCAATAGAGCACTGAAAAATACGCTGTCAATTCTTTCACCAGGAAAATGTCAAATTTTTCAGGTTATAAGTAGTAGTGTGTTAGTGCCAGATACTTTGCATTAACTGCTTATTTATACGCCACTTTTCTGTGCTAAAAACAAGGTACATTATTCTTCAGGGAGAGTGAATCATCGCTAAAACAGAGATAAAATTTATCATGTAGTAAGAACACGTATCCAGGCAGGTACTAAGGAGCAGCTGACACCCACACAGTAAATTCATATCTTACTTTACCCATCAATACTCCAATCTTTTCCAGCTGAAGGGACCTTGCTTAGAGATGCTGTCTGGTCAAACAGCCTACTAACATCCCAACCACCAAAACCACTTCTGCCCCTGCTGCTTCTTCTCCCCTAAGATGTGGAACCAACATCCAGACTGGCAGGCAGTGCTTTCCTCCCCACTGCTCACACCTTCCAAATCCCTGCTCTCTGCTGCCAGAGCGTGGTGCTCACCTGCATCCCAAAGCAGATCCTACTGAAAGACCAGAACTGCCTGCCTGTTGCTATAAATTCTGTGCAAATTACAGAGGCTAAGGTTTTAACATTAATGGTTGGTTTGTCACCACATCAGCTACTACAGTCTGCTCCTGGTGAAATGAAAGTGCTGGCACAGAGACTGTAGTACGGGCTATCACCCATGCTAGTGTGGTCTATTCTGTTTTGAAGTGACAGAAATGACAGCGAAACTCATTATACTTGTAACTTCTACCAATATAACTCTTTCGGTGATATGTCAGTCCCTTAAGTGGGATAGAAAATCTGGTACATGGGGACATATGCAAAAAAAAATCTGCATTCACAGTTAGAAAGGCAGGCTAACATGCTGACAGTATTCTGGTCAGAAGGAGAAAGGCAATATGGTGGAGTTTGCTTAAGAAAAGGGTAAGCCAGATTTCCTAAAATAAGCAAAAATTTACCAGGTATCACACAGGCTGGTTCACCAGCAACCAAGGCTGTGGAAATGACAGTTTGAAACTATCTGTTGAAACCTTGATAGAGACCTGCTAAAACCTTTCCTTCCAATATCAGTCTTCATGCAATAGTGGAGCAAGCAGTTGCAAGATAACTGCATGGCAAACAAAATTCACTATCCATTTTGCAGACTGCACCTCTTTCTACTGAAATACAGATTTTTGCACAAAGAAGTTAATTGCCCACAGGGTTTAATTAATTTATAACAAATCACTGGATCTCTAGCCCTCCTGTTATATGCCTTTCAATTTATCATCGGCACAGCTAGCTAAAACCTGGCCTGCTTCTTTTCTGTTCACTACACTGGCCTGACCATTCACTTTCTTCTTCTGCCACTACCTACTCTTCTTCATAGGATGCTGAAGCAAACCAATTTTAGAGTCATCTACAACATTACAGAAGAAAGAGCATTACTGAATGAAGGTCAGCTAATGCTGTGAAAATTGCAGTAGGAGATAAACCCATATGATCTCTGATTTCAGTCCATTTCTTCAGAGTAAGGCACATACCCTACTCCTTTTTCTGTCCCGATGAACAGAAAACTCAGTGCTTTCATCAGTAACAAACCTCAGAAAGCACTTTTCTTGCTAATCGTAAATAAAGTGGACTTCACCAGTCAACCCAAGAGGAAGGATTCCTTATGTCAGTCTTGTATGTTTTCTGAGGTTCTAATAACCTCCACCAAGCAGCTCCTTCTTTGAAGCTATCTTTTTGAAGGTTTACTTAATGATTTACTGCAACTATTAAAAAGTTATGGTAGAAGATCCAGCAGTGTTTAACCACATGGTCATGAGTCATTAGGTCATGTGGTAAATCAGACCAAGCACTTCTTGTAGGAATATACCTGTGTGCTAATTTTAAAATGGTGTCTATGTAGTTCCCAGTTTATGAACCTATGAGACTTTTCCCACTCATGCCTTGTTAGCACAGCTTACCCACTGGATTGCTCAGTATGGATCAGTGCTGGATAGCTGTAAAGAAATGATGTGCTGAAGGCAGCTTAAGAAATATGATTATCAGTGCACACCAGAAGCTAGTTGAATTTCTCTAATCTTTCCCATTTTAACTGGTGAGACAGGATATCACCTGCTAAGCCAGTAGAGAGCCATACAGTTTAGTATCACAGAAGCACAATGAGGAAGGGACTTTGAGAGATTGTACAGATCACGCTCCTGCATAGGAGGAGGATTAATTTTATTTAGACTGCCCCAATTGATAAAAACCCTTCTGAGGGTTTTGCCAAGCTTGTTCTTGATCCCAGAGGATCTAGATATGTCAAGCTGATGTTCATCCTCATCTCATTTTGCTGTCTTCTTAATAATACTTATATTACAGCACTGACAATGCTTACTTAATTGTCCAAATCCTCTGTAATCTATACAAGCTTGAAGAATGCTTCAGCCCTTCCTAGAAAATTCAGGACCAGTCTGTTCCACATTTCTTTAAGGTAACAACATCAGTTCTTTGGAAATACTGACGTCACTGTAGACAGATCAATCAGAGATACTGGAGTAAGGAGAGGCATTGAAGGAACTGGAAGAGGAATATCCTGCATTTGCCTTTGAGGCCACAAAAACAGCAGCGGGAAGGAAGAGTGTCACATGTAAGCACGTCTCCTCCAGACAGCATCTATCCAGATGACAAAAGAAATCTAAAATAAATGTTTATGCCAGAGGAAACAACAGGAAAACAGGAACTCTCCTGCACAGTGTCAGGGAAGCAAATGCACGTTTCAGAAGAAGGCTTTAATTACAGCTTTTTAGTTATTTGAAGTCTCCTTAACCTTGCAATGTTCCAGAAGCAGAAGAGGACATAATTGTCAGTCCAAAACACACATTGCATCTAGGCTTTTGCTTTTTTGCCTTCCCCGCTTCTTCTTTAGAGTCTGCAAACAGCTGCCCAACATATCTGCAAGTAGTATTTCCTGGCACCCTTATCCAAGTTAAGCATTCTGAGTGGCTTCCAGGTGTATAACTTAGATGTGTTTTCAGTGACAATAACCATGGCCATACCCCAACCTTTTGCTGCTTCTTTAATGTTATATTCTCACAGGCGTTTCCAGTCCCACCATGCTCATGACTGAAACCATGCTACTCTAGAATTGAATCTCCTGATGTATACAACTACACTGACAGTACATGACTTTATCAAACCTGCCTTTTTTTTTTTTATATTATCTTTGTCAACACAGTATCTGAATAGGCTATTTATTTTAATGGCCCCCAAAAGATAATAAATCATAGCCCATTTTATGGTATTTAGGTACTTGGAAAACACCCCAGGGTTTAACTCCCATCAAAATTAATTCAAAGTAGGCACCCATGTCTAGACAGCTTAATTGCCATTGTATTGTTTCCTATAAATTAAGCTTTTCTAAAGGCCTAGAGACAGAAAATATTCCTGAGGCATCTCCTTCTTTGCCTATTCACTTCAGCTTTAACCACTGGTTTCCACCAACAGGTCCATCATTCCAGCAAGCCATAACTGCTGGGAGTTGTGATAGGCTGGGATAAGACAGTCTGGTGTGACCGATTCTACTGATGCCAAATCTATGAAAAAAATAATTTAAAAATAAATCTTCTTTTTAGATTTCTTTTAGATTAATTTTTTCTTAAAGGCTTTTCACCTGGTCACAACTAGTCCTCAAGGAAGAAGACCAAGAGGATGCAGACCAACAATGCAGAGACAGATACTGCTTTGAACAACCATTTTTGAAGCTTTGCCACTGAGCCAGCTTCTTTTCATGTGGACAGAAATAGTGCAAAGGCTGGCAGGAGGCAATGCTACTTCTCCTGCAAGCACTCAAAGCTGGGTGTCACCTTCATACCCCTGCCATTTTGAGTCCATGACAGCTTATGATTTCCTCTTCTAAGTCACCAGGGATGCCAAACAGGATGCAAGAGTCTTGCTCTGTGCAGTCAGCGACATCTCGATTGTGTACACCTGGAGTGTATACTGCTCTGCAAATCAAACTGCTTCTGTCAGCACATATTCAAAGTGAACAGATGAATCTCTGTGTGTCAGTATTTTATCCACCAAGGCAGGAAGCAGGAAATTCTGCCTCAGAAGTAGATCTGTCAATATTTCCTGAAATCTTTGGCTATAATGAAGTCTTGTACATGTTCTGGTTTTTCAGAGGCCACTGGTAATTTGTCCCTTTGAACTAAAAAGAAGGCAAGAATTACACTGTTAGACTTTAAATAGATTTTTTTTTCTGTTTGTTCTTTGAAAGCTTGTTACAGAACCTCTCTCTTTTTACCATCTGACTGATAGGAAATCAAAGGATTCTAGAATGGAAAACATCTGATTGTAGGAATGAAGTAATTAGTTGGCATCAATAACAATAGCATATTATAACTTGACAAAACCATGTCTTCAACCTAGGATCCTTAAATAGAATGCTGCAAAAAAATGTGCACCAACCAGGGCTAAGATCCGTGCCAGCTGAATGGGAGAAAGCAGTGGCAAACTAACTGATACTACCTTTACTCATTGCACTAGTTTAACATATTTGCTCTTTGCCCTTGGAGAATTCTATTGCGTATAATAATTACATCATAAATCAACACTTAAAAAGCATTTAAAATATCAAATAATCAGGTAAAGTAACTGCTGTGTCTATTAAGTTTAATGTTCCTGTACTCATTTAATGATACTGCATAGCTAGGAGGCCACCCTGTCTTGTACATAAAATACGTAACAATATAAAAGTTATTGCTGGGCCATAGAACATGCTAAATATCTTTCAAGAAATAAACTATTAGAAACCATTAAAATTAATTTTGGGAAACACTGATAGTGATTCACTTAATCAAACAGTTTGAAATTACGTCAGGGAGGTCATCAGAATTCAGGCTGTTTTAAAGACTCCTGTGGCCACAGAGTCAGTGAGGTGGCTCTGGGCTTCATTTCTCCTCTGCACAGAGCTGCCTGGTTTCAGTTTTGGAGTCATTGCTGCAAAAAAAGCCAACAAAGCCTTGCCATGGTGACTCTCATAGGAGTCTGGATAACTCATAAGTCTCTGGGTAAGTCTTACTTGATCTTTGATGTAAGAATTAGGCTACAAAATTCTCAGAAGCCAACAATCAAAATTGTGCTTTGGTTGGAATTGTTTTTCAGCTGCCAGGAGTTTATGAGTTCGTATGCAACAATAATAAAACAGCAATAACAGCTCCACAGTTAAATCACTTTCCTTAGCAAACCAGGAAGAAATAACAGCATGGCCTTGGTCTTTGATGTTTGAATAAAAACACCAAGAGCAATCCCTCTAGCCATATTAAGTGGCCTTGGTATAATCAAAGCCCAAGAATATCTGTTTGCTTAACCTACATTATGCAAGATCTCCATGTGACTGGCAGAAATGTGCCAGCTTGCTCAGCTGAATTCATTATTGGAAATAAGCAGCAAAATATCTGAAGGTTATTCTTAAAACATACAGGGAAAGTGTAGGAGAAAGAGAGGAGATAAATTGATTCTTTGCCTTGATACAGCATCACTTACTGCATTGTTTTTTTTCTCATCTAATCGAGTACATCTCTGTTTCTCTAATGGAATAACTCAGGGCTCTCTCCTGCCACAAGGCGGGTGATTACGAGTTTCTGCTTTATCACCTGTCACTCTAGAATATATAATAATGTGATATATAAATATAATTGTAAATAATAACTTACAGTGGAATATATATACACATAAAATGTAAGTTTTCAGTCCTGTTTCATTATGACCTCATGCAAATTAATTGAGTGAGACCATTTTCCTGGGCACCAAGGACAACTCATTCTTTCCCCTGCCTAACAATTTCCTCTCAGCTTGCCCTTGGTTTGTCTTTTCAAACTTGGCAGAGGTTGGCTGGCTCTTTTCCTTCAGACCAGCTTTCACCCTAGGCTCTCTCACCCTCTGAAAGAGGAAGGGCTGGGAATGCAACAGACAAAGCTGGGCCAGACCTCTCCCGTTGCCTAGGGTATCTGCAGGGGTGTGCACCAAAGGCAGCAGCTGTAGGAAAGGAAAAGGAAGAGAAAGGTGCTGAGGAAAGGGAGAGATAAGGAGAAGCTGTTGTGCAATGGTTCACAGGGTGTAAACATGCAGGTGTGCTAACTACTAAGACAAAATGCTGGAAGGCAAGAGGACTAATAGGAGGCATCAGGATAAAACTAGGCTGAGTGTCATCTCTACACAAAGAGACTTAACTGAACAGCTCTGTATAAAAATAACATGCCTTGCCAGCCACATTCTCCCTTTGGCCCCCAGCTGTTTCCACTTCCTTAACATGTGTTGAACCTAGTAAAGTGTTTACTGATTTCCCATCCAGCTTTAAAAAAAATAAAAAATACAAGAGCATGCACTGCCAAGGCCGGAAGAAGGTGAAAAAAGATCAGGAGAGAAGAATAGTAGAAGATAACTAAAGCATTTAATCAGTACATTTCTTCTGGGTTTTCTGCAGGTCTCACTTAACTGCTTCATTACCAGAGCTGGAATCAAGATGAACCTCTGCAGTTACCAGTCTTGTGGAAGCAAAGTGGATGTTCAGGGCAAAATGTATCATACTGGGATCTGTTCCCTCAACAGGGCAGCCAGCAGTACTTTTTGGCAAGCTAGCAATGATCGTGACAAAAAATACTAACTGCAGCACATCTGTCATTCACTCTCAAGAGGAGGTGCCATGAACTGCAGTCCTATGCACAGTCCAGAGTCAGACAGGAAAACCATTATTTTTTTCAAGCTTTTCTCCTTTTAGCAATACTATTAATAATACAACAATAGTCAAAAGCTGTTGGTTTATTTGCTCTTTATCATTCTTTCATCAGCAGAGCTCAAGGGTAATTAGAGCGTAACTCCCTGCAACTAGTCATTCTGCTTATTCATGAACCCAAGTTAGCAACCCAAACCAGTAATCCCAAACTGCTAATTCTCA